CTATGTCTGGATCTCTGCGCCTCAAGAACCCACCTTAAGTCTTCTGCAGCAAGGTTCCTTTGAGCATAAGGCAGACTGCGATTTCTGGCAACACTCCTGAGGTCTGCAACATTCACGCCCACAAACACAGCTGGAAAAGGATCTGCATCCACTCCCATGGTTTCCTTCGCTTTGTCTGGAAATTTCAAGATACCCTTATCAATCTTTTCTTGCAAGATATTACGAAAAATAAGACAATTATCAGTAGAATGCTTCCAAGAATTATGAAATTTGCAATAATCTCTAGCTCCGATTTAAGCCGCTGTCAGGATTTTATGTCCCGGCGGCAGCTTAATCAGACCACTCTTTTTAAGGTGGTCAAATATATCACTAGCTTTTGACACATCAAAAGTATACTGTTTTCCAGCCTCACCAACATAACATCTCACAGACGTCTCAGGCTGGTGAGTTGGTCTGACAAGGTCTGGACAAACAACAGGCTTGTCTGTAACAACCTCAGCCACATCAAGATCAAAATTAGGGTTACTGTAATAGGTTCCATGTGATGCAGCTTTCTTTTGAACATCTTCTTTCAGCAGATTTTCATACAGAGCCACTTTATAAGACAATTCATAGAAGTCTCGGAATTCCATCCCCTCAAATTTCTTTCGGAACTCAATGTCCAGACCATTCTGAGCCAGCTTAACAAACTCTTGTTCTGGCAGTGCAACTCTACATTTCAATCTGGCTCTCCGGAATCTCGCAAGGAATGCCTCAGACGACTCTCCAGGCTTTTGGGCTAACCTCGACAAGTCTGCCATAGACACTTCCGGTTCACAACGATAAAATTGAGTATGAAACAAGTCCTCCATTTGCCTCCAAGAGTAGACTGAATTTTGAGGCAGACTGAGGTACCATGTAAGGGCTGTCCCAGTCAAAAAGCTAGGGAACAGTCTGAGTTTCAAGTTATCATCTCCAGACGCCTCTCCACATTGTATTGTGAAGCGTCCAATATGTTCAATAGTGGACTGACCAACCTCACCAGAAAATAAAGTGAACTCAGGCACTTTAAAACCCCTTGAAAAAGGATTTTCATGATCAATGATGTCTAGATAAGGCTTCCTGTAAGCTGGACGCACCAATGGTCTCAAGGCTGGTCCATAGGTTTCTTGTACCAGATCTATTAGCTGATCTCTATTGAATAATTGTGCTAGGTGATTCTGTAGACCACGCTGTACCGGCTGGGCTGGAGGAACTTGTGGCTGGAAAAAATCCCTTGGGTAGGGTTGATGATGAAGACCCACATTTCCCCTCCTACCTGGCGGAATATACCTATGCTGAGGTTGATTACCATGGTCTGCAACGGGAGCAGCAGCCTCCATTGGTTCATGCTGCCTTTGTCCTTCACCCATGAAGAAATTCTGTTGTTGAATATTAGGATGAGGCTGATTCCCTTGCCCCCCGAGTGCTGGGATTAGGGCTTCCTGAATCTGTCTGAGCATTTCAATGACTGGAGGAGGAATCTCAAGTCTGGACTGTCGCACTTGCTCAACCACTTGGTCTGAAACAGCCTACAGTGTCCTGCGACTTTTTTCCCCAGTTTCTCGCATCATCCTAGTGCCTTCCTCAAAGACCCGTCTCATCTCTTCTATACATTGTTTAACTAACTCTTCCTGACGTCTGGAAGATTCTGTTTGACTGTCAACAAGTCTCCGCATAGCCTGGTTCTGTTCTTTGAATGCTAAATCCAGACGTTCAGTCATACCTCTAAACACATTACTTGATTCAGCAAAGTCACCTCCACGGTCTGCTTCTTTCTCCTTAAATACTGGATTCCCATAAGACCGTTCTGCCAAAGGTGACACTGGGAGAAAAGTGATGGGATCATTTTCACCCTCAGAATGAAGTGGGCTGTCGTCAGCATGTCCAGCCTGGGCTGGCTGAACCTCTTTGTCACTGCTCTTTCTCGGTGGCATGACTCCAGACGCTTCTGGATGTATAAACAGAGGGTCTGTGAACTTTAACTGATACACTTTGCTGGTCCCACCGGGCGTGCCAACAAAGGATTGTTTCCTCAAAAAATCCTCAGCCGGCCTTTACCACGTGAGTTGGTTATTAGGCGTGCCACTTGCTTTGTCTAAAAACAAGAAAACAGGATTTTCCAGA